AAAACAAAGTATATATATTGAGTGAAGAGCAAGTGTTAATTACATTGGAGCCATCTCATTTCACCAATTCTCTACGATATTCAGGCCTAATGACACAACCAGATCTGAAGGGCTTCTGGAAAATTAAAAGGAGTAAGGCCAGCCTCATTTAAGAGAGAAGAATGTTCCATAAAGCTGGGGCAACAGCAAAAAAGGCCTATCACCTTGGATCTGTGAGATGAAGCTCCCTGATAGGGCTCATGATATGCTCTCTCTGCTAGATCTGGCAGATGTAATCAGGAGGAGAGACAGCCCCTCAAATAACCAGGTCCTTTGCCATATAGGACTTTAAAATCAAAATCAGCACCTTGAATTAGATCCAGAAACAGATCGGTAACAAATGCAGCCTATAGAACAGAGATCTAACATGTTCTTTTGGAAACACACAACTGCCTGTGCTGTTGCATTCTGTACCAGCTGAAGCTTCTACATTATTTTCAGGAGCAGCTCCATGTAGAGCATATTACATTAGAATGCATTACAGTAGCCGAACTGGGAGATGACTCTGAGTAGAGGCCCCCAAATTGGCCCAAACACAAAATAGAAAGTTGAGTAAAAGCCCTCCTAGATACAGCTGCTGTTTGCTCTATGACAAGGAGTTGTGAGTCTAAGAGAACCAGATTGTGTAGAGTCTGCAGTATCACCAGAGATGGTATAGTCCTAGAACTGGTGGATCCCAAAGCCATTCAATTTTTCCAGGGTTCAGTTGAAGCCTATTGTTCTTCTTCCAGAGTCTCACAGCATCCATAAGATGTCCACAGCATCACTTAATTGCCAGGGGCAAAGATGTATAATTAGGTGTCAGCAGCATACTGCTGATACTTCATCCCCTTGCAACAGATGAGCTCACCCATTGGCCTCATGTAGGTGTTGAATAAGAGTGTAGAGAGCACCAACCCCTGTGGTTCTCAAACAGTGGGAGCTGAAGATGTGATCTCTCCCATAGTCACCACCAGCTGGAATTGACCCCAAGAAAGGAGAACCACCACAACGCTGTGCTGTCCACACCCCAATCCTCTGAGTTGATTTAGAATAATAGCATGGTCAATGATATGGAAAACCACTGAAAAGTCAAGCACAGTGAAAATGGATATACAACCTCCATCCCACCCACACCAGAGATCATCCAAAAGCATGAGCAATACATTTTCCTTTCTATACTTAGGTCTGAATCCTGACTGAAAGGATTCAGATAATTCACTTCATCTGGATCCTTTGAAATAATTTTGAAGCCTCCTTCTGAAGTATCTTTTCCCAAAAGAGGAGTTTAGATTCTGGATGAAAATTGCCCAGTATAATGAGGTCCAGTAGTGTCTTCTTGAGGAGGAGATGAACCAAGGGCTTTTAAAGAAGTAATGAAATAACCCCTTAACTGAAGGGTTAGAATCCCCTCATACCTTAACAAGCCAGAAGGAACATAGATTTAAAGAGCAGATGGCTGACTATATGGACCTAATCATCAGCAGGCTCAATTGGTTTAAAATATTCCCAGATAATTGGGCAAGACACCCTAGGCCTCTTCTCTGGACCTACAATGCCAGTGTCCCAACTGAGAGTGAATTTGAGCAATATTGACAGATACTGAACAAATTCTTCTCCATATCCATCCAAGGAGTTGTCTAAGCCCCCCGCACCCAAGGAGAAATTTATCACATGAAACAGGTCTACAAAATGGCTATCTACAGATGCCATAAGGGTGGAGAAGTACTGATGCTTTGCTTCCTTTACTGCTACCAAATCAGCCTTAATACCGGTAGCAGCTCTGACCCATGTCCGCTCAAGTTTGTTCTATGTAGAATACAAGCAACATCCTGGTTGTTTCTCTCATTTTATCTGTTTTATCTGCTTTGTAAATCATAGGGAGTGATGGGATCCACAAGTGATCCAATCCAAAGTCTCTGCTGCCTACTTATTTCAAGTGGTAACCAAGTAGACATCAAGTGGTGATGAACATGCAACAGACCAGAAGAAACAATCTCCAGCTCTCTCTGAAACCCATCAAGATGCATCTGTTGCCAGGAGCAGACCAATATAATGGGTCTGGCCTCCCTGTGCCACAGAATCTCATAGTGATCAGGGCATGATCTGACCATGACACCAAAAACTCTCCCGTTTCAGATTATATACCCACTGCTCCAACATGAATACCAGATCCAGTGTGTGTGACTTCTGTCCTGTGGTTTTGGATAGGCCCATGGCCATCATGGTGGCCTGAGCTCCTTAGCATACCTCAGACCCTACTCACAGAGAAGTCAAATTGAAATCCATAAGTCTGGAGAATTCCACTGCCAACCCAGAGATGGAGTCAGCTAAGACAGGAAGGTTGCTATGTAGCAGAGACGCTGGTACAACAGCAACAATCTCAAGCTAGAACCCAAGTTAATGAATAGGGTCTCACCTCCAATGAATTGTAAACAGAGCAAGAGTTACAGTGGATGGTGATGATGAGGTAAAGGGGACTCATCCAGATCCAGATTTTGTTGCTCTTTTTCTTGGTTTTTTGGAAGTGATTGGTTTTATTCTTTTTATTGTTTTCTAAATTGTGATAAACTCATTTTAAAAATTGCACAATTTTTATTTGCTTTTTCTTAGAAAGTTGGAGAACTATGCTGATAATTTTGGGCAACTGCAGTAGATGAAGCTCTGTGAGCCACAAGAAGCCTTCGGTGCGTGGCCTCCTTGGATTTTTAACACAAACATCTTTTGTTGACCAATCCAGTAATGTCAGAATTAAACCTAGGAACTGGTTTAATAAAGAACTATATGTAAGCCATGTGCTCTATCACTGGACTGTGGCCATTCCCAAAATGTATTATTGCATGCTACAGATTAAGTTGTTACAGGCACAACTGCAGTGTGTGCAATACATAAGCATAGTGTGTGAAAATGGGAAAATTTGAGATCTGTCATGGCAAGACAGAAATGATGAACCATCCATAATTCTGATTTATTATTTCTTTGATTTGAACATGGTGCTGTTCTAAATCATTCACTGGTTGATAATGACTTAGATAAAAATAATTAAAAAACAAAATCAATATCCTAAAGATGAATTTAAAAAATAACAGCCATAAATGTCTATTCAACTAACAATTTTCTTCTGGTTAAAACAAGCTATCAATTACTGTCAACTGCATGAAGGAATGAATGTATCTTTACAGCCCACTTAAATCCATAAGGAGATGAATTGCTTTTGACAAAGCATTTCATCACTGTGGTGTAATGGCTCAAAAGCCATTTTTTCTACATTGGCACACATTTTACTTCTCAGATGGGGGAGGCATAGGTTCTGCAGCTAACCATGATGCCAGATAAATGACGAAATATGTCATGATATCATGATAGAAACCAGATGTAGGTTCAAATATGTAAGTTTCAGGATATGCAAAACAACAGTTATGTGTTTTGTTACTTGCCTCTGCCCCCTCATGTCTGCTTATGGAGTGTATGTGTATTGTTCCTTTAATAGAGTTCACCATATGATTCAGCAGATTTGCAAGGTATACATGTATGCATTGCTGTGGTTATATTTTCTCATATTTCATTCTCTAATACTGTACATATAATCTTACAAAATTTGGATTGCTATCTATGACTTGCTGTAGATAAACATAGGTGAAGGGGAGGACAGAAAGCTCCCCCGCGTGATTTGTTCTTTTTTGTTGCTTAACATTTGAATTTGATCTCTCTGTTAATTATCTTTCTTATGACCAGACTAGCAGAAATAAAGAGCTTTTTCTGCATTGGCACCTGCTCAACTGAAGACCTCTTAAAGCAGGTCTTTCTCTGGTCACACCTATTCAATAGAATGCCTTGTGAGATTTGAAAAACATTTCTGTTCCTTTGCCAATAAGTTGAAAAATGGTTTTCTAATATTAGCACAATATGCAATTTGAAAAGAGGCAACCTCCTAATTTTTCCATAGAAGAATGTATAGCAATTGCCACTTACTTTTGTTTCCATCAGGCACTATTTGTCTGTTTCTCAAATGAAGATCCCCTGTAAGGCCTTGGCTCATCTTTTGCCTGTTCTATGTCTCTAAGATTAAGAGGAAATTACCATAATAATGTTGCTTCTTATATATATCAAACTGCTCAAATAAATTCATCATTCTGTCTTGGGAATGTCCAACAGTAATGTTTATATTTAATATAAAGATCTGAGCTACTCTCCAGTCGAGTGCTGCAGTTTCCTTCTACTAATGGAGAGGAACTACCTGCTCCTCTTTAACAGGGAGTTCTGCCTGTTTTATGACTCTTTCTGCCACTTAACAACCACATATGGGAAAGCCAGGATGCGGTCATAAAATTGGGTCAGCTCACATGCTACTTGCTTTACAACTGCCATTAGTCATGCCCATAATTCTGAATTCAGTCATGGTGGTAAGTCAAGGATTATCTGTAATATAAAATTATCTTTATTTCTAGCCTGCTCATTATAATACCTGTCAGCTCTCACTGAATATGGTTATGTTTGTCTTCACTTTCGGGTCTTTAGTATTTAATTGAATGTATTTACAATATTTCTAGTTTTATACTAGGACTTAATAAATATAATAACTGGTGGATTTTGAGGAGTATATTTTTGATATACAACAATTAACTAGGATGTTTCTTCAAAAAATTTCTATCACATTGATGCATCATAAAGACAAAATTCTTTGCAGATGTGTACATTCCCATACAGCTTAATGGAATTTACCTGCCCAATTAGAGAGTTGTGATAGTTTCCCAAGTGTGGTATTCTCCAGAGGTGCTGGACAAATTCCTAGCTGTGGAAAAAAAAATATTAATCCCAAACCTCTGAAGTTACCAGATTGTGGCAAGTGACATTAAAATTTATCTGTAGTATCTATAAATCAATTGTTCAGGTTGTTCTTGGGTTTGGCACCATCAGCTTAATTTTTTCGTGACAGAATAGTAATGAAAGGAATTTCAATATTTAGTCATTTCTATTGTACATGCAATTTTTAAAAATAATTTTTATTTTTCATTTTTCCAATTTACAAAATAAAACATTTTTCTTTCTTTTTTTAACAGTACTATGTCATGTATCTCTTACAGTTATTTACATTTATTGCTATACATTTTTATTTCTTTGTTCTAACCAATTATACCATTTATCCCATACCTCATAAAATTCTGTTTCTTCCTTGCCTTTCATTTCTAGTGTAAGCTTATACATCTCGGCACATTCTAATATCATTAGCTGGTATATTTTCAAGTTTCCAGCATTGCACATAGACAATACGTGCTGCTGTTACTATGTGTACAATAATATATTGGAGTTGCTTTTTTATCTTTTGATTAATTATTACTAATAAAAATAATTCAGCTTTAAATTCAATTTGTTCTCCTGTTATCTCCTGTAGCCATCTCCTTATCTGTTCCCAGTATTTCCTTGCTTTAGGACATTGCCACCACATGTGATAAAATGTTCCATCCTTATACGTGCAAAATTAGTGGTGTTACCTACTGGGTGCACCTGCCTGCTGAGTCCAATGAAATGCATTGTCTATGTTTACCTAAACGCTGTGACATCATGCTTAGATAACTGAGATTGGCTCTATATGAAGCTACTCTAGAAGTCCACCTTGAAATTGTAATATCTCTGTTGCAGGTGATGCATTGGCCAGTAGATTCCAGTTCAAAGGGCTAGTAGTTACCAATAAATCTTTACAGGCTTGGATCCTAGGTATCTCTGAGACTACCTACTCTGAATAAAATCTGCCCACCAGTGCAAATAAGCAGAGAGGGCATGCTGCAAATACTCATGTTAAGGAAAATGGAGAGGTAAAGCTTCAGAAATGAGCTCTTGCTTTGCCCCTTTCCATTTGGAGCAGCTTGTCTCATATCAGGGTGGCCTTACCTTACTAATACTCAGGGAGGCAGTGAAAATACTTTTTTCAGAACTTTTCAGGCATGTTTATGGTCCAGTAGTTGTGTTAACTGGTGGTTATGTGAGAGTTTGATTATTATACTGATGCTAATTGTGAATTGTTAATTGTGGAGCACATGTCTCATTTCAACTTCTCTTTACAGTACATGATGATGATGATGATGATGATGGATTACGTTTATAGATCACTGATTCCCTAAGGACTCTCAGGGGTATATAAATACAAATAATTATACCTAATATATAAATACAAATAACTATACATAAGAAAATAAAATAAAATAGAGTAAACAACACTAATGAAAGACACTGAAGAATGTTACATTAACCAAACCAAATAACAATGGGGTCAATGTGTAAGTGCCCTCTGGAAAAGCTAGGTTTTGAGCAGCTTCTGGAAGACAATCAGGATCAAACCTAACCAATGTCCATTATGAAGCTACATTAAAAAGCAGCACCATTGAGTCCATCTCTCCCCCCCTCTATCAAATGAGGCCTTCCAATTTTTTTTTCTGGGCTGATTTTCTGGACAGACTGGATTGATTTTATCTAGAGCAGTGATGGCAAACCTATGGCATGGGTACCAGAGCCCTCTCTGTGGGCACGTGCGCCGTCACCCTAGTCCTAGGCCTTCAGCTGGGTTTTATAAAACCTTTCCACTTTAGGCCTCCGCTGCTGTGTGCAAAAAAAAAAAAAAAAAGAGGTTCAATCAATCAGTCAATTTCAACTTCTCGTGAGGAAAAAAAAGATCTTGCAAAGTTGGAATTGATTGACCGAACTTTTTAGTCCCACCCAGTCTGCTGTTACCACCGCAGCCATACCCACCAAATGGCCACACCCACCCGGCACCTGATGATGCATAAATGGGTTTTGGGTTGCAGTTTGGGCACTCGGTCTCTAAAAGGTTTGCCATCACTGATCTAGAGAATGCATTGCTGCAGATTAGTAGGCAGCAAGCTAGGTAGGAACAGCTTGAGATTGTAGGTTAGAATCAGCACTTTAAAGTGCATTCAAAATTTTATTGGTTACTAATATAAAGCCAGTAGCATTGAAGTAATGTGCTCCCATTGGTGAATGTCAGTCAGCATATGGGCCATTGCACTCTGAACCAACTGTACCTGACTGAATTTAAAGCAACCCCATATAGACTGTGTTACATTAGTCTACCAGATATAAGCCCCACTAGATAGACCAGACCAGGAAATCAACTCCAAAAGAAGGCTAAATTTGATTGAGCTGTTTCTATTGCTTCTTATACTTCAGTGAATTAGAGAAGCATTTCCCTGAACTACTTCCAAATGTTAACTCTTTGTTGTGGTCTTAAAAAATGCTTCAGCCTATTGTTTCCTAGATTACAATTCTTGCAGATTTCCATCCAGGTCACCTTCTACAGCAGGTGTTGATGAGAGCATGAATCATCACAGCAAGATCATCCTGCTCCATATAGGGGTGCAACTGGTACATTAGCCAAAGCTATTTGCCGTAGCCTTTACCTGCTGTTCTAGCAAGAGCCGTGAGTCTAGAAGAGTTGCCAAGTCACAAATCTGCTCCTTCAGTAGTGCTATCCTTATTATTTATAAACATATACTTATAAACATAAGTATTAATACCACTCTTCAATGCCTTGGTAAGGCCACACTTGGAATACTGCATCCAGTTTTGGTCACCACGATGTAAAAAAGATGTTGAGACTCTAGAAAGAGTACAGAGAAGAGCAACAAAGATGATTAGGGGACTGGAGGCTAAAACATATAAGGAACGGTTGCGAGAATTGGGTATGTCTAGTTTAACGAAGAGAAGGACAAGGGGGGACATGATAGCAGTATTCCAATATCTCAGGGGCTGCCATAAAGAAGAGGGAATTAAGCTATTTTCCAAAGCACCTGAAGGCAGGACAAGAAGCAACGGGTGGAAACTAATCAAGGAGAGAAGCAACCTAGAACTAAGGAGAAACTTCCTGACAGTGAGAACAATTAATCAGTGGAACAGCTTGCCTCCAGAAGCAGTAAATGCTCCAACACTGGAAGTTTTTAAGAAGAGACTGGACAGCCATTTGTCCGAAATGGTGTAGGGTTTCCTGCCCGAGCAGGGGGTTGGACTAGATGACCTCCAAGGTCCCTTCCAACTTTACTACTACTATTATTATTATTATTATTATTTCCCTTCTCATTCTAGCATGTATCTTCCTCAATCTCTGGGCATCTATCAGAGGCCTGGGAATCTGATGTTCTGTGCAGTATCTTGGCTGTTCCTAACACTGCTCTTTGGTTATAGAGCTCTGATGTTGTTCTTGGGTTCTGTTGGAACACTCTCCCAGCTTAGGAGGCACAGCCCCAAGTACTTCTACCACCATTTTTCGTGACTAAAGTTCCTCCTTCAGACTCCGATTCATCTCCAGTTTCTCATACTCCTCCTTCCTAATGTTGTTGTCACTTGGCACTGCTACATCTATCACCACTGTTGTCTTTTGGTCATGCCATGGTGGCGCAGTGGCTAAAATGCAGCATTGCAGGCTAATTCTGCTGACTACCAGCTGCCAGCAGTTTGATTCTCACAGGCTCAAGGTCAGTAAAATAAGGACCCAGATTTTGGGGGTCAATACACTGACTCTGTAAACTACTTAGAGAAGGCTGTAAAGCACTGTGAAGTGGTATATAAATCTAAGGGCTATTGCTATTATCTACTAGCACTAGGTCTTGGTGTTTGCCTTGTTCCTGCCTATCTGTCTGGAAGTCCCACAGGATCTTATCACGCCTGTTTTGCATGACCTTTTATATAATCTCCCATCTGGAGATGACCTGGAAGGGTCTAGCCAATACATTGTACAGATGTTCCTATATACAATGCCAGCTACTTGGTTGTGCCACTTAATGTATGCTGTTCTTGCCTGTATCATATACCCTATCTCTATGTGCCGGAATGTCTCTGAGGCCTCTGCATACTCTGTACCTTGAGTCCTGTCTAGTGTGGTAGACCTCTGCTTCTATGGAACAGATGCCTAGTGCTATAATTTTGCTACTATGATGAGTGTCTCCATGTATTTTAGTCCAGCCCTTTCCAATATCTGCCACCTCAGCTATCTGTTGATGGCACATGCTATGCAGGCTCTTGGTGTTTCCTCTGCTTAATCTTCCTCTCATGTCTGCTGTGCTCAGGTATTCTCTTAGCACCTTATCCTTGGGTGCCACTGATGTATTCCTCGATGCTCTGGGTTTCATCTAGGACAGTGGCTTTGACACTCATCACTCCTAGCCTGCTCTCTTTCTGGTTGATGGGTTTTCTCTGGGTGTTAAACTTGGGATGAAAATTTCCATAGATTGTGAGGATTTGTAAAACAGGTGCTAAAAAAGGATGATTAAAGAGAGCTACTCTAGCTTCTAAATATAATATATTCTTTCAAGTTGCTTTATTCCTTTTGGAATATGGGAATGACTATATTTAAATCCATATAAATAGTTTGACCAAATAGAACAAAATAATTTATGCTGTGGAAAGAAAACAAGATATTTTGAGTTTTTTCTATTAGTTTAACTGAAATTCATACTGTGAATATGTTGCATAAGGGTGCAATTTTTCTTGAAAAGAGTAGAATATTTATCTTAAAAAGCAACGCAACTAAAAGCAATATCAAGTTTTGATCCATAAGAATATCTCCTATAAATAAATATCCAGAATACAAATGCCAAACTGTCAATTTCATAATCTTTGATTAAAAATATGAATACTACTTAATTCAGCTTCCAGTTTGTTGCTAAGAAACTGCTGCTTCATAGTTTCATTATCATTTGCAGAAATGTTTTTGCTTCCTGGTATCTTAGTGACTTCTCATTACAAAAGGCTAATTTGAATAAACATGAAGTCAAATAACAAACCACTTTATTTAATTTCTACCCTAATCTTGGTTCTGTATCAGTTTTCTTCTAGAACATGCAAGAGGAAGAGATACAGAAACAGTGTTCTTGCTCTCAAAATAATTGAGCTTCTGAGAAAGCTCAATGACAGACAATCTTTACAGGAAGATACCATCAGCATTGTATGGCTAGGCTTAACTCAGATTAGATAACATATTTAAGATATATAGTATATAATTATTGTTACATTTTAACTCCAAACAGCTTTAAGTACAATATTATCTTCTCCATGTTATTCTCATAGCAGCCACACATGAGAAACAACAGATTATCTGGTAAGTTTAACTGAATAGAATTTTAACCAATGTCATCATATAAAAGATGGGGTCCTACATCAAACTGTAGATCACATCTGTAAGATGAGGGCATATACTGGCCCAGTATCTGATTTTTTTTCACATTTTTCACATTCATATTTTATCTGAGGCAGATTTAAAACAGCTATCAGTTGCAATATCTATCTATTGCCTACACATTTAGAATATGCTGTTTCTGAAGAATAGGAGTGTTACTGTGTTCATTCTAGTAGGCTCCTCATGGGGCTGTGGTTGACTGTTGTGGGAAAGGAATGTTATTCCACATGGAACTTTTGCCTCTTTCAGTTGATACTTTTATTATTAAAACCCACCTGAAATAAATCAAATTTCTAAAAAAGTATGGTTGAAGATGGGGCAATGTGACAAACTTCTAGATACTAAGCTGTGGATGGACTCAGAAACCAAACAAGGTCAGAGCAGGCTAAACTTGGAAGGGACCTAACTAGCAATCTTAGAGCCATAAGGTCCTTTGGGGGAAAATAATACTTTGGAAAATGGCAACGCAGAGAAATGAAAAACCATGTCTATATGTTGCCAGGAAAACTAAATGGATGTGTCCACAAGTTACTAGGATCTGAGCTCTGCTTGAAAGAAACATAACCTTTACCTTTTGGGGTGGCTGTTTATCGGCAGAGTAGAAACATACTATTCTTTTATTTACATCATGTCACGTTGTGGCTGGATTGGCTTTGGCTTAAAATGCTGTGTGAATCCAGTCATTTATGTTTAATAAGCTAAACTATGTTTAAACAAGGCTGTGCTTGGCTGTATATGAATCCAGCTATAAAGGACTTGGCTGAAAGGCATCACGCAAAAACCCCGCAGGGCCCCCCTCTCCACCAAACCCAACAGTAGGACTCAGAAGAATGGCAGCAGACGTTCAGAGTAAATTTTACCAGCAGTCACAACCACAGTGAAAATTGACTTTTTTTTTTTTTAAAAAAACCCTTTAATAACAACATGGGTAGAATTAATGCGTGGGCCGGCAAAATAACCCCAGGGCTGGACTAAGTGTGTTGGGGACCCGGGCAGTAGCCTCAGCAGCACTCGTACTCTCCTAAAGGCGTTCACATTCGGACAGACCTTTTTGCCCCGCCGAGGCCCCTGTAGCTGCTTGTTACCCTGGTGACGGGCTCTGCGCAGCCACTACTAGCAGAGACGAAGGCAGCTCCTACTCCTTCCTATCTTCACACGGCGGTTTTGCGCCTCTCGAGTCGTGGGGGGTGGGTGGGTGGGGGAGGAAGGCGTCTGCCCGAAGGGCACGCTCGTTTTGGCCGCGGAGCGAGAACAAGCTTCCAGGGCCCATGAAGCCGGACCACCACAGCGGGCCCTAAGTGGCCCCATTGCTGGGGCTCAGCCTGCCGAGGAACAGATTGGCTCGCAAGTCCCTCCCGCCCGTTGCCCCCTCGCCTGCTCGGGAAGGACAGCGGGCCGTGTTGGGGCCGAAGCGGAATAGAATATATACATATATATACATAAATATATATATACATATATATAGGAGCTATTCTTAGCACAAATTATCGCAGAGAAACCTCTAGAAAGCTATCTTTGTCACGCACTCAATACAACGTCTGTTCTCAATCAGAAATTCTTGCCTAGAAGATTCGTCCCCAGTTTTCTCCTCCGACCTCCTCGTTCCCCGCCAAATTTCCCCTCCTAGGAATCTATGAATAGCTCCTCTCATCGTAACGAAGCTTGTTTCCTCATTTTTTCCTCTTTCGATCCACCATATCGTAAGATGACTGGCTAACTGTATGCCCCTCCCCTTTAAAAAGAACCCCTTTTTAAGATTTACGTTTTTTTTAAGGATACGGAATTGCACTTTGCCTCGCATGTCCTCTCCATCTCTATTTTGGGCTTCCTGTAGAATCTTGCCGGCCGCCTCCTCCTCCTCCTCCACCAGCATCATCACCACCACCTTTGAATTGGACTTGAATGCCTAAAACTGCCTCCGACTTCATAACTAGATCAAACAAGAGAAAAGTTGCCACCTCAGACCGGAGCCTTTCCCTCTGTTTTGCTTCTCATCCGCCCCCACCCCCACCCCCACCCGCCGGCCAACCGGAGCAAAAGGGGAAAGAGGGCGTGTGTATGCGCGCGCGTGTGCGGAGGAGGGGAAATGTTGGTGTCTCCTTCTCCCTGGAAACGGTGGAGGAACTGAGGCGAAAGTGAAGCAGCAGGAGAGAAAGTTTCCTTGCCGAAACCTGGGCTGAGTAGCGAGTGATGCTTTTGGAACTGAACGAGCATCGGCGGAGAGCTGCGGTGCTGCCGCATTGTGTTTGCTGAGGATCTTCCCGCCTGGTGGGGGCTCAGCGTCCTGCGAGGAGGAGGGAGCAGCTGTAGCGAAGCAGCTTCTATCGCCCACCTCCACTAGTACATCTTTTAGACGAGAGAGGTCCTCCGGTTTTTGTTTTTTGTTTTTGCTCTTTTGAGGGCCTCAGTGCAATGTGAAGCGTGCCCAATAAAAACCCTGATTTGACAAGGATTGGAGCATCAACCTAGTACATGCATCCGATAATCATCTTCTCATACAAAATGGATTTTAGCCAAAACAATCTGTTTGGTTATATAGAAGATCTGCAGGAACTTACTATCATTGAAAGGCCGGTGCGCAGGAGCTTAAAGGTATTACATATGTTGTACGAATCTATCATTTTTTAAAAGAAAAATAGATAAATAAAATCAAATCGTAGTTATTTCAGACCCGAACCTCTTAAGTGATGTGATGGCATATCTTTTGCAGGCTTAGCATATTTTAAATTGGAAAGATGGTTTGCATAGATAATGAATCTCAGCAGTGGTATAATGCTTTCAGAAATGGCATTTGAGATGAGGGGGAGAGAAATCCTAGATAGCAATTGCTTTGATTTCAGCTACTTTTATGATTATATAATTTTTATCTTTTATTATAGTAACTGATTTAAAATGTTAATTGCCTCATTTTTGGAATGCTATCAAATTGTGAGAATTAAAATTAAAGGCCTTAAAACCATATCTGAAACCTGTCATAGTCTTCCAGGAGACTGTTCCAGAGAAAGTGGCTTAAAAATTACTGGCTGTCATTCTGGTTCAAAAATTGAGAAGGACAAGTGGTAACTCATATTTGTCTCTGGTTCTTTTCTTGCTGTCTGTAGTTTATCAAATAGCAAAGGCCCTTACTTAAGGCCTTGGAGAGCAGTTGCCAATTAAAATGGATAACACCTGACAAAATAGTAATCTGACTCATAGAAGTCAAATATATGACTAATTTGAAGCTAGCACACTTTATTTTTCATTAGTATTTCTTTTAATTACATTAATTACATTAATTTCTTGTGTTTCAGGCAGAATTCATACTTACTCTGGAATAAATAAAAGTGGTCCTGGTGATGAATAGTACAATCCTATGCATGCCTACTCAGAAGTAAGCCCCTTTGAATTCATCGGGACTTACTTGCAGGTAAGTGTGTGTGGGATTGTAGAATAAATATACTTGTGGCATTGAATGTTCAAATTTGAAAGTGGAGGTAGTTGTTAAGAAATTGAAGTATGGAGCTATGATGTCAATAATGTTAATTTCTGTATCATCTGACAGACACCAGAAGAAATAGAAAGACTGACAGTTGATGAAGAACTCAGTGATATTGAAAGGGCTGTGTATCTACTCAGGTATAGTTTAGATACTATCATTTTAGTACCTTTTATTTAAATGTTTCCCTCTCCACCCTCTTGGTGATTTTATTTCTTGAGTTCTGAGTTGTAATAACACTATAAAAGGAAGATTAAAAGAATGTGTGACAGTAAGACTCCATTAAACCTACATGGCAATATATTCTTATACGAGAATGGTTGCTAGGCTATTTTTTGGCTTTATACTTTAACCTTTCCCTCTTCTTTGAGAGTTACAAAACTGAATGATGATATTAATAAGACTGATCACTGATTCACTTCATATTTATAGAACAGTTTTTACTATGATTATGCAGTAAATGAGCTTTTTGTTTCCTTCAAAGGCTATATAATATGGAAACTTTGACAGGATACATTTCTAGAATGAGAAATATTTAAATCTGTATTGGCTTTTAATCATAGTTTAATTTTTTATTTGTATTTCCTTATAAAATGCATACTTGCCTTTTGCCCTTTAAAATGCACATTTAAGCATCATTTAATTGCCCAGAGTACTATTTGATTGAAAGTCAGATTTTTTACTTTTTGGAGAAGGTGCAGTGCTGAAGGATTTTGATATAGGCTGGCCTCTTTATACAATGTTAACTGAAAGAAGTGCCAGCTGTAAGATTCCTTTAAATTTTATCAGTTATGTTTAGTACTTTTGAGAGCCATGTTTATCTCATTCTTGGAAATGAAGCTCTTACTTAGCTAATATATCGTAAGCTAATACTTTTTTCAACCTTTTAAATATTTTATAGCTGTCCTGTCTGTTAATACCTTCATCTTTCATTGGTTCTTTTAAATATCTTATTGTAAGCAAAATGTTATTGTAGAATATTTGTTTGGATTCATCACATGCTTTTTCATTGTTAATATATTAGTTCAAATGTTGAATATTTACAAGGAATTTATTGAGGTGGGTAGAATGGGTTGAGAAACTTCATTATCATTTACTCTAAACTTAGACAGACATCCTAACAACCTATTCTAGCAGCAAACCAATATTTTATTTAAAAAATATATATAAATCATGAAACTTATCACGTTTTCTTCATTGCAAGAATTTTCAGGATTTTTTTTTCTTGTCAAAATTTGAGGCATCTCTTTGGGACACATTTCCAGGGCAGGTGGATTGTAAAGTTCTTTCTGACCCTACAACATCCATTTCCAATATCTTCATTAAGTAGGCATAGGTTGGAACAATGTCGACTTGCTAGTCAGAGTAACAGAGGCCATACTCATAGTCATTGGTGACTCATTTCATAACACCTACCTTTTTCTTAATATGTGGTTGCTGTAAAGATGCAAAGCAGGTTCGTGCTACTTTATTTCTCAGAAGAATAAATTTGGTAGCTGGCAAGGATGGATAATATGTTTTCACTGACTGCACATAAACCTTAGATTTTTTAAAAATTCAAGAATTTCATGTTTGAAATTACTGATGTAGATAAGGATCACTAAGATTGATCTTTATGGTTTTGTGTTTTCAGGGTTAGGCTTTGATTTTTTTTCATTGATTTTTAAAAAAATTATAATTATAGCAGTTATTCTTTGAACAAATTGCAGTCTTGAGTATGAATGAAAAGCAAGTTTATTCAGCCCTTGCTAAAATACATAAGATTGATGTTCAATATATTATCATCTTGAGACAGATAATAAAATATAGTGCTCTGCAAGATGTCACCTAAAAATCCTTGTGTTACCAATACGTAGGTACAAGCTTTTCTTTTTTACAGCTTAGTAAATAATATTGTGCATTACCTGTTTCTTGGAAACGATCCTGGTCTCAGATTCTCTTTAAGTCTTTCTTATACATTCCTGAGGTTGAAGAGTACTTCTTGCAGACTAGATCTAATAACTTCTGGTGTAAAGTAGAAATTATTTATTTTATTTATATTCTACCCATCTCACTCTGAAGAGCGACTTTGGGCAGCTTACAATTAAAATCATAAATATAAAAATATTAAAAAACATTAACCTCAAAGATAATAATTTGAATGAAGGCAGATGAAATATAGCTGTGTGTTTATTTTTAAAGCATATGGGCATAATAGCATGACATCAGCCTAAGTTTCCTTATATGTTGTCCTTTCCATGTTACGCTCCAAATAACCTTCTCTTTGAAGTTACACTTTAATACAGAATCACAAATTGAAGAGCAAGTAACATCAATATTTTTGTTATTCTGTTATCACATTTGTGGCCATATATTACCAGTAACTAGCATGGTACTGGTTTGACTGGAGCCTATTCTTTACTATAATACCTTCTCCTTTAGTTGTTTTTAAATTATGGGTTGGTTTGGTCTAAAAATATACTGTAGTGTACATTTTATAATGTGCCTTGTTCCTGCCGTAGAGTTTTTGAATAAATTAATCTGTGATCTTGTAATAGTGTGCACAAACAAATCTTGTTTTATTATAGATATTACAGGAATGAAGCCTATTTGATTATGTATATAAGTGTAAGGTATGTAAATTCAAGGCTTGCTGCTGTGTTTCCAGTATAAGTATACTTCTGAATGGAATGCGAAGTGATCCAATGTAAAGAACTTGCTTCTGAATATATTTGTTCCATAGCAAAAATATGCAATACCTTAGGCAGCCTCATCTGAAAATTTGATCTCTAAATTTTGTTAATATTCAGTAAAGAAATGTTTAGATGTGTTTTTAAAGTTTGCTTTATGGACTGTTTTTTATGTTTACAATTTTTAAATTGCTCATAGTTGGGTGGTATATACATTTAACATATAATGTAATGTATATACATTTAATAATTAAATAAACATTTAAAAATTATCTGATAATTCTGCCACCTGATTGCATGAGAATGCTCAGTCTGTGATCTTTAATTTCCTTTTTATTATTCTGATCCTTGTGAATCCTTTGTATACTCCCAATTAAAAGTGATTACTACTTCCTGTTGATATATTTTCAATAATGGAAGGTCTTAAATCAGCGGTTCTCAACCTATGGGTCGCGACCCCATTTGGGGTCGATCGACCATTTTACGGGGGTCGCCAAAGAAGGCAATCCGCCATTTCCCCCCGTTGGGGTGGCGCCACGCACGCGCGCTGCGCATGGGGCCACCGCAGTGCATGCACGCTGCACATGGGGGCGCCGCGCATGCGCACCGCGCATGAGGCCACCCCCCCATGCGCGCCGCGCATGCGCAGCACGTTTGTGTGACGGGGGTCGCCGTCACACAAACGTTGAGAACCACTGTCTTAAATGGATTATTATGATTACTATCACAAGATAGTAGAACCACTCATATTGGAAATAATTTTTATTCATACTTTTTATTCATACTTTTCCTTCAAAAAAGGAAAAAAAATGGATCCAGGAAATTACAGACCTACCAGCCTGACCTCAATACCTGGGAAGATTCTGGAAAAGATAAACAAGAAAATAATCAGTGAACACCTACAGGCAAACAAAGTCATTACTAAAATCCAACATGGATTTGTCAAAAACAGATCATGCCAGACCAATCTTATTGCATTCTTTGACCAAGTGACAAAATTAGTGGACTAGAGGAATGCTGTGGATATAATTTACTTGGACTTCAGTAAGACATTTGACAAAGTAGATCACAACCTACTACTTGATAAGATAGAAAAATGTGGGTTAGAGAGAGCATCACTACCAGATGGATTCGTAGCTGGCTGACCGGCTGTACTCAGCGTGTGGTCCTCAATGGAACCGCATCTACATGGAGGGAAGTGTGTAGTGGGGTGCCCCAGGGCTCTGTTCTGGGCCCAGTGCTCTTCAACATATTCATCAATGATTTGGACGAGGGGATAGATGGGGAACTCATCAAATTTGCAGACAATACCAAGCTGGCAGGAATCGCCAACACTTCAGAAGACAGGCTTAGGATACAGGAGGATCTGGACAGACTTGAACACTGGGCGCTATCTAACAAAATGAAATTGAATGGTGAAAAAAGTAAGGTTCTATATTTAGGCAAGAAAAACCAAATGTACAAGTATAGTATAGTAGTAACTATGAGAGGGACCTCGGAGTCCTACTGGACAATCATTTAAATATGAGCCAGCAGTGTGCTGCAGCTGCCAAAAAAGCCAACACAGTGCTAGGCTGCATTAACAGAAGGATAGAATCAAGATCACGTGAAATATTAATACCACTTTACAATGCCTTGGTAAGGCCACACTTGGAATACTGCATCCAGTTTTGGTCACCACGATGTAAAAAAGATATTGAGACTCTAGAAAGAGTACAGAGAAGAGCAACAAAGATGATTAGGGGACTGGAGGCTAAAACATATAAGGAACGGTTGCTCGAATTGGGTATGTCTAGTTTAATGAAGAGAAGGATGAGGGGGGACATGATAGCAGTATTCCAATATCTCAGGGGCTGCCACAAAGAAGAGGGAGTCAAGTTATTTTCCAAAGCAACGGATGGAAACTAATCAAGGAGAGAAGCAACCTAGAACTAAGTAGAAACTTCCTGACAGTTAGAAAAATTAACCAGTGGAACAATCTGCCTCCAGAAGCGGTGAATGCTCCAAAACTGGAAGTTTTAAAGAAGAGACTGGACAGTCATTTGTCCGAAGTGGTATAGGGTTACCTGCCTGAGCAGGGGGTTGGACTTGATGACCTCCAGGATCCCTTTCAACTTTATTATTACTATTATTATTATTATTATTATTTTACTAAATAACATATAGTTATTAGATTAAAATATCCTATTTTTTAAAAAAATACCACTTCAACTAGTGAGAATGAACCTTAATGGAGTAAAGAAATTGCACAAAATGGAATCTGTTAAAGATAAATTTTCAAATCTTAAAAGTACAAAGAATTCAATTAAAAGAGATCATTTCCAGTTCTTCATGTTATGCCATTGCTCCATTGGTTTTTTTTTATTTGCTTGCTCTTTTGGTTTTGTTTAGTTTTACTTTTCAATCAAGCTAGCACTCCTGGAATTTCTATCCAAATACTAATTATAGCAAACCTTACTTACCTTTTGTGA